ATAACTTCACTTCACAAAGACGCATGTGTTTTTGCAAAGGCGTTGTTTACACATTTTGCCTTTGAACAACTGGAATATACCATAGTAGAAGAATACAGGCAGTCGCATCGACACAGATGCTGAGACAATGAAATGTCAAACCGATTTTGGAATTGAAAATGTTGAATGAAAAACGCGAATTATATTAACCTCCGAATAATGTCTTATAAGAAAACATATAATTTTTGACATATCAATGTTCCCAAGCGTTGATGTAACTACCTGTATTCTTCTACTTTGGAAGAACTGGAAAATACTTAAAATTTGATTTGATTTTGGAACATGGCAGACGCTCACTAAGAGCAATGTGAACTTATTTTTAAATATTAATTGTCTGCATTATTTTGGCTATTTTTTGGATTCTCTTCTAACCTCGTAAGGGAGTTTGTAAATTCGTAAGTTGAACCCAATTGATGTAGATACCGAAAAACGTTCTATGTATTCCCATATTAATTTTAAATACTCATCCTCTTCAGTGACAAATTACCCACGGTTGTCTTAAAAGCTCAAATTTAAACACCTGACAGAAAAATGGCAGACAAGCTGACTATAATTGAATAGATTCCATAACAAAGGAGATCGAAGGGGAACGTAGAAATAAAATTAAGTACTTCAAGTGCAATTATCATATCTAGAAACCATCCATCATCGCCCAACTGGTCTTATCTTGCTTATGAGGCGTGCGACAATTTTCCCACTATAAAAACCCCATTAGCAGCCGGTGGAAGGCAGTTCTTGTTTGTCAACAAATTAAGCAACTAAACCAAAACAACAAAAATGTTTAAATTCACCGTTGTCATTTTGGCAGTAGTGCTCTTGGTCTCTCCAGCCTATGGCACGATCTACACTCGCTGTTCCTTGGCCAAGGCCATGTACAGTTTGGGTGTACCCAAGGATCAATTGGCTCGCTGGACCTGCATTGCTGAACATGAATCGTCGTATAATACCAAGGCTGTTGGCTCCTTGAACTCAAATGGCTCCCGGGACTATGGCATCTTCCAAATTAACAACTACTACTGGTGTTCTCCCCCATCCGGTGCCTTCTCTTATGATGAATGCAAGATTAAGTGTGATGATCTGTTGGTCGATAGCATTGAACCTTCCGTTAAGTGTGCCCAGTTGATTTTGAAACAACAAGGCTGGACTGCCTGGTCCACCTGGAAGTACTGTGATGGTACTTTGCCCAGCATTGATGATTGTTTCTAAACTTTGGAGGATCAAAGAAAGAGAATTGTGATTAATAAAAATTGGCATTGAAAAATATTTTCATTTGTTTTAATAATTTCTTTCATAAAAATTCAAAGGGAGGTCCAACTTCAACAAAGAAAAAGGGAGTTTTTCATGTAGCCTTCAAGGGAGAATGTTCCACTTTTTCTTTAATATTTTCTAAAATCTAAAATATTTAAGTTAAGTGGAATTATTGGAATTCAAAGTTCTGAAGGGGTTGAAGGCTGACATAAAATTAAAAACGTCATTCAAGGACTACACAAGAACTAGTAGCACCCAGAAAGTTTCCTTAAGGGTTTAAAATCTCTATTTTTATACGCCCCAAGAAGAGATAAATAATATTTGTGTTCCTAGGATGCGGAACATTTGTTTTTACTTGCGAAGGAACGCCAAAAAACGAGTATTTTTAAAATATGCCACTGGTCATACGTAAATATTTAAGATATGAAAACAATTTTAATTTGAATGATGGCAACGTCGAGTACGTTGGAAAAGAGTTGCCATATTCGATTTTGGAAATGAGTTTTTCTCTATTGTTTTGCCATGATTTTGGCCATTAAATCTTGATCTCTATTGCCCTGTCTTTTGTAAACGCTTGGTAAAGGAAATGGATAAATGAACGTACGAGCTGGATCCATTTCCTATAGCTTCTTTCACACAATTAATTTATTTAAGAACCTGAAAGAGTATATAAAAATGTTACTACAATTGTTTTCCTTAATGATATGAAAAAAAAAAAAAAAAATGCAAAACTAGTAGAATCGTTCAGATTCTGGAACAGAACTAGTTCCTTATTTGAACTAGATCCTTATAAAACAATTGAAATCTTATTGAAACAACGAAAAAGTGACATTTATCTCTCTCAACTTGCATTTCTCCCACAAATCCCATTTTACTTTCCGGCAAACTTTCTACGTGTGAACTGGAACAAAGTCCAGTTCCACACAAGAGTAATAGCATGAAATTCTTATACGAAGGCAATTAGGATTTGTCTAAAGACGCACATTTTCATGGCACTACTTATGTAAGGACCGAGATTTAAGGAAGTAGATGCAAAAAAAGATCTGGGCGTAGTTCCGATCGTTCCTTTCACAGAATAGGTTCATTTTGCAACGAACTAAAGGCGAGAATACATAATACGTCTTTTTTTGGCTGGCTCAAGTCATCGGCTGGCTTCTGCGGAAAAGATCAAAAAGTGTAGGGCCAAAATCGAACTAAGTCAACCTAAAACTCCTTTGTACTTCTACGAAGAAGCCAGCCGATAATATAAGGTGAGGACGCATAGAACAAGTTTTTACGGACTTAATGTGGAATTAATCCGAATAAAATATCAAATTCGCTGTTTGACAGATTTTCCAATTTTGCTCGCCCAAATTCGTATTAAGTTTCTAAAGAGAACACACAAGTAGAAAAAGAGAGTTAAGGTGAAAATACATAAAGCGCTTATCTAGCTGGCTTCTTCGGAAATGAACAAAGGAGCCTAAGGCCAAAAACGAACTAAGTCAATCTAAAACTCCAGCCAGCCGATCACTTAAGGCAGCCAAATATGCGCTTTATGTATTTCCATCCTTATATTTTTGTTTAAATGGATGTGAACATTGTGCAAATTTTTGGAGTATGGAAAAGTTTGTTTTTGGGCAAAAGTAGTAGAAACGTTTTGGTTTTGGAACCCAACTCTAGACAGCTTTACTAAAATCTACTCTACTTCACACCAGGGAACGCGGTAATAATATTTATTGAAAAAAAACATGTTCACCTATCCGGTAATAATACCAAAATTGTATTATATCCTTTTGAAAATTCGTGTAATGTAAAGATAAATGAATGCATGTGAACCGCCCTAATATTGATTGATGTGTAAGTATCAGCCGAGTAGTTCAGCTGATTAACAGCTGTAGTTTTAAGGATTGTTATCTGTTAAAAATAGATTAAGTGAAGAAAATCTCGGATTAAGTACCGTTATGTTTAGTATATAAGGACGATGATTATGAACATAAAAAACAGTTACAAAGAGCCTTAAGGGCTAAGTACATAAGAAGCTTGAAGTCATGGCTAGGCATATTTAGTGACATTTCACAAAGAGATTACAGAGCCGCACTAAAATCCTGCCGTCGTTTTCCATTATAATTTGACATTAGTATGCCTAGCCATGACTTCAAGCTTTTTATGTACTTGCACCCTTACCCTGCTGCATAACTTCTTTTTCGGACTGGAACAAAAAGAATATTCACTAACAATTCGTTGTAGGTGCGAAAAATTTCCAAAAATCATTTTCTACCAAGTGACGTTTGTAAGCGCCGGCAAGTGCGTAGGAGATTTTTTTGTCCGCATCAGAAAAATGTATCAATCATAAAAAAGACAATATCCAATCTTTAATAATATATTTTATTTCATCAACCTACTTATCAAAACTATAACATAGCTTAAAGGCGGAAACACATGAGAACCATCGCATTTTGGCTTAAGTCTCAAAAGAAAAAAGACAAACACGACTTAAATTATATTCCTAACACAGAATTACATATCAGAATTATTTTTGGCCTAGCGAACGTTTAGATTCAAGTTTTTTGTTGAGTTAACTTTTTTGGTGGGTTAACTTTGATGAGGACTTATCTGACGTATATATGACGTATATCTGACACTGGAATTGGCTATTTAAATACAATGGGTTTACTTAATCCAAAAACCTCCAAAGGTGTTGATACATGAATGGATTGTTTCACGGGGTTAAGTCAGCGATTGGCTTCTACCATGGTAGAATAATATAGGTAGACGCATCGACACAGCTGCTGGGACAATCAACTGTCGAACAAATTTTGGAATAAAAAAGTTGAATGAAAATTATTTAAATTTGTAAAAATTGTTGAAAAACGCAAATTATAATAACCTCCGAATGATGTCGGAATGATGTCAATTTGAAATTGAAAGAATATTTCAATTTTTTTTGACATATCAATGTTCCCAAGCTTCTACCATGGCAGAAGAATACAGGTAGATGCATCAACGCTTGGGAGCATTGATATGTCAATAAAATTCAAAAGTTTTTTTCAAATATAAGGAGATTTTTATATATTTTCTTATACTACGTCATTGGGAGGCTGTTAAAATTTGCGTTTCAAACATTTTTTACAAATTTAAATAATTTTTCATTCAACATTTTCCATTCAAAAATTGGTTTGACATTGACATTCATTGTCCCAGCAGCTGTGTCGACGCGTCTACCTATATTCTTCTACCATGATGTCAATATTGTATTATCTCCTTTTGCAAATTCGTGTAATGTAACGATAACTGATTGAATGTGAACTGCCCTAATATTGATTGATGTGTAAGTATCAGCTGAGTAGTTCAGCTGATTAACAGCTGTAGTTGTTAGGATTGTTATTGTTATCTGTTAAAAATAGATTAAGTAAACAAAATCTCGGATTAAGTACCGTTATGCTTAGTATATTAGGACGATGATTATGAACATAAAAAACAGCTACAAAGAGCCTTAACCCGCTGTACAACTCCTTGTTCGGACTGGAACAAAAAGAATATTCACTGGTAATTCGTTGTAGGTGCGAAAATTTCCAAAAAATCATTTTCAATCAAGTAACGTTTGTAAGCCCCGGCAAGTGTGTAGGAGATTTTTTTTCTTCGCATCAGAAAAAAGTATAAATTCCAAATATCCAATCTTTAATAATATATTTTATTTCATCAACCTACTTATCAAAACTATAACATAACCTCAATCGATAATTAAAGGCGGAAACACATGAGAAGCATGGCATTATGGCTTAAGTCTCAAACGAATAAAAGACAAGCACGATCTAAATTATATTCCAAAGACCGAAAAACATTTCAGAATTTATTTTGGTATAGCGAATGTGTAGATTCAAGATTTTTTTTTTGCTGAGTTAACTTTTTTGGAGGGTTAACTTTGATGAGGATTTATTTGACTTATAGGCACTGGAATTGGCTATTTAAATATAGGTTTACCTAATCCAAAAGCTTCCAAAGGTTTTAATACATAGGAGGATTTTTTCACTAGGTTAAGTCAGCTGTTGGCTTCTACCAGGGTAGAAGAATATAGGTAGACCAATCAACACAGCTGCTGGGACAATGAATTTTCAAACCAATTTTGGAATAAAAAAAAGTTGAATGAGAAATAATTTAAATTTGTAAAAATTGTTGAAAAACGCGAACTGTAATAACGTCCGAATGATGTCGTATAAGAAAACGTATAAAAATCGACTTATATTTGAAGGAATCTTTCAATTTTTTTGACATATCAATGTTCCCAAGCTTCTACCGTGGCAGAAGAATACAGGTAGATGCATCAGCGCTTGGGAGGATTTATATGTAAAAAAATTTAAATGTTTTTTTTCAAATATAAGTAGATATTTATATGTTTTCTTGTACTACGTCATTCGGAGGCTATTATAATTCGCGTTTTTTAAACAATTTTTACAAATTTAAATAATTTTTAATTCAACATTTTCAATTCCAAAATTGGTTTGACAGTTCATTGTCCCAGCAGCTGTGTCGATGCGTCTACCTAAATTCTTCTACCATGGCTTCTACGTAAAGTATACATTATGAGCCGAAATCGATCTAAGGCAACCTAAAACATCCTTGTTATTTTACGAAGAAGTCAGTCGATGGCATAACAGTACGTTTATACATATGAGGGTTAACCCAATGGGTTTGGATTTAAATTGTCATATCCATTACTTTTATTTCAAATAAATCCTCTCAAAGTAGGTTAACCCTACAAAAAGTTCTAACGTAAACATGGCATAAGTCTATAAAAAAGCCCTTCAAGGTACAGCTACATAAAGAGCTTATTTTCCTGGCTTAAATTATCGGCTGGCTTCTTTGTAAGTCATCGGCTGGCATCTTCGTAAAAGAAGAAATAAGTTTTAGGTTGACTTAGTTCAATTTCGGCGCGTTATTAATATTTGTTCACCCTCGTTTTCACGTTTTCTTATCATTTTACAAAGAAGCCAGTTGATGACTTAAGCCTGTCAAAAAAGCGGTTTATGTGTTCTCACCTTTAAGTATGGTAAAATGAAGAAGATAAAGTCATTTCAAATAAGAATATCCATGCCTGCATTTTCTGTAATTTACCTTGTCAAATTTCACAGCAAAAAAGAACAGGTTCCCATCTCTGATTTGTGTAAATACAATGGATTTATGAATACGCATTTCGACAATAGCATGTTGTCAAATGGATTATTTTGAAAAGAAATTATTAATTCTACCATGACTTTAAGCTAGAAAAAATCTGTTTATGTATCTGCACTTTTAAGCTGTTACAAGTCATCTGCTGACTTTTAATAATTGTGGAATTTAGGGATATCTAGTTCCGATAATACACCGACTTTGAACTAGTTCACCCTAGTTCTAGTTCACACTTTTTTGACTGGCTTAAGTCATCGGCTGGCTTCTTCGGAAAAGTACAAAGTATGGAAGAAGAATACAGGTAGATGCATCAACGCTTGAGAGCATTGATATGTCAAAAAATTGTATTTTTTTTTTTTTTCAAATATAAGTAGATTTTTTATATGTTTTCTTATACGACGTCATTCGTGGGTTATTATAATCCTCGTTTTTTCAACAATTTTTGAAAATTTAAATAATTTTTCATTCAACATTTTCAATTGCAAAATTGGTTTGACAGTTCATTGTCCCAGCAGCTGTGTCGATGCGTCTACCTATATTCTTCTACCATGGAACAAAGGAGCATAGGGCCAAAATCGATCTAAGTCAACCTAAAGTTCCTTTGTTCATCTACGAAGAAGTCAGCCGATGACTTATGCCTGTCAAAAAAGCCTTTTATGTATTCTCACCTTAAGTCATATGCTGGCTTTTAATAACAATGACATGTAGGGATATCTAGTTTGGATTATGGACCAACTTCGAATTAGTTCACCCTAAATGCCTGTTATTTAACGTTAAATACCAGCTGATGAAAAAATCCTCTTATCAGTTTAGAACTTTAATTTTTTCACCTCAAATTACCCTCACAACAATGCCATGCCTCTTATGTGTTTCCGCCTCAATTCCTCACCTCTTAACTCTACTTCTTTAAAACATAAACATGCACTTTCGACTCCCGCTCCAAGGTAATTAAATTCATTTCATTTTGATTAGTTCTAGCGCAACCAATATCCAAAGTAGCACCACTTCCCTCCTCATCCCCCTCGACGATTTCCTGTTCCAAATAGAAATCATAGATACGCAGCCGGCCATTACTCAAGGCAAAGAGGCGCCAGCCATCCGAAGACAACTCCAAAGATTGTATTAAATTCCGTCGCAATACCGAACCGGCCAAGACGATTTGTTGATCGTAGATTCTCAATTCGAATGGTTTGCGATTTGTGTCAATTAGGGCCACAAAGGCGGCGGTGTCCGGGCGAAATTCCACATCATTCGAGGAACTATTGAAATCCATGCTGTCATAGGACTTTTGGGAGTTTAACACAATATTTTGTATGGCACATGACTTCCCCGTTAGATTATCAAAATCTGGCGGTGAATTGTTGTCATGCGATTGTCCCGGGAATGGTGTACCAGGAGTTTTGCATTTCGCCCCGCCGGCTTTCGGCATTTGCTTGTTGAGGGCACAATTCAATATCATTACCCCACCATTTGACAGACCCACGGCCAAGAAATTTTCATTGGTCAATACCTTCAAGGCGGTGGGGAACAGCAGCCTGCTTTCATGCAAAATTATGCGCCGAAACCTCTCAGCTTTAAGGGTCTTGGAACACATCAAAATGAAGTTACGATTGGTACAAACGAAAATATTCTCGCTGCCACATTCCAGGCTGGTAAATCGCAGACCCAGCGAACCCATATCGGTGTTGGTGTTTTCATTTAACTCCTTAAGCGCCTCATCACTGTAGATATTCTTCTGAAACAAAGCCTTGGTTTTGTCGAAACGCGAAAGGGATTGTAGATTTTTCGTTTCAATATAATCCTTGAGATATGCCACCGAACTTTGTATGAGTTTGACCCGGGCCCACGGTGAACTGTAGCCGAATTTCTGTTGTAGTTTTGAGTAATTTTTGAGTTTTTCATTGGGCTTCGATTCCAGGGGATTGGTGGGTACTTCGGAACTATCCACCAAAGTCCATACGGTTAGCAGGCCGGAGTCATGCAGGGATACGAACTGAAATGAGAGAACATTTTTGGGTGAGATGGGATATTAAAGAATAAATCGAAATGAATCTGTATAGGTTGCAATTTTTAAACCCCCAGCCACATGGGCTAGAGGAGGTATGTATCATTTGATGCGGCCAAAACGTGCCTCATCGAAATAACGGTTTTAGACCCAAGGTCTCTTTGGGCCAAATCCGTTTCAGGACATATGGACTCAATCAAGCGATGTTCGTCCATCTGTCTGTTTGTCGGCTGGTGTGCACGATAACTCTCGAAAGGAATATCCGATTTGATCCAAACTTCGTACATCGTAATATTATTGTCAAGCTTAGATCAAGTTCGGAGATGGGCAATATCGGTGCACTCCTTCCAGTACCTCCCCTACAAAATGTCATCATTTTCAAAGAAAATAATTTACTGCACAAAAAGGAAAGGAAAGGATAATCCGATTTTGCTCCAACTTTGGAAATCCTAATATTTGCATCAGTGTTAGGTCAGGTGCGGAAATGGACAATATCGGCCCACTCCACCCAGAACCTCCCACACGAAGGGTCAAAATTTGGAATAATTATTACTCCCATAAAATGTGATATAAGTGTCCGACTGTCTTCAAACTTCACACATCCCACTATTTTTATTAACCCAAGGTCTGGTATGAAGATGGAATATACCGGTCCACTCCTTCTGGTACCTACCCCACAAAGGGTCAAAATTTTGAGTATCCATGAAGTTCATAAAACACGAAATTAACATCCGATTCCATTTATACTTGGCACATCTCAATATTTCCATCAACACAAGATCTGTTATAAAGATGGTAGAGATCGGACCATTCCTTCTGGTACCTCCCCCACAAAGGGTCAAAGTTTTGAATAACCAAAACTATTATTAAATCCGAAATAAGCATCCGGTTCTCTTCAAATTACACACAACATAATTTTTTTATTTACCAGAGGTCTGGTGTGAAGATGGTAGAGATCGGCCCACTCCTTCTGGTACCTCCCCCCACAAAGAGCTAAAATTTTGAATATTCATGAAGCTCATAAAACGCGAAATTAACATCCGATTCCATTCAGACTTGGCACATCTCAATATTTCCAACAACACAAGATCTGTTATAAAGATGGTAGAGATCGGACCATTCCTTGTGGTACCTCCCCCACAAAGGGTCAAAGTTTTAAACAACCAAAATAATTATAAAATCCGAAATAAGCTTCCGGTTTTCTTCAAATTTCAGACATGTCATTATTTTTACTAATATAAGATCTGCTGTGAAAATGGGATAGATCGGGACACTCTTTGTGGTTCTTCCCCCCACAAAGGGTTCAAAATTTTGGAGAAACAAAACGCTCGAAGAAAGCGAGAAAAACATCCGACTCTCAATCATCCAAAAATTTTTGCTAACACAAGATGTGTTGTGAAGGTGATATATAACTGTGAACACCTTCTGGTACCTCACCCACAAAGGGTCATAATTTTCAATACTTTTATCTGTCATAATTTGTGAAACGAGTCGGTGATTCTTTACAACTTGCTATATCTAAATATTTTCCTTAGTCAGAACACTGATATGAATATGTAATTAATCGGAATTTATGATTTCGCATAAATTTGGATATAAATGTTCGATTTCCTTTAAATTTTGCCCACATCAACATTTTTATCTGTATTAGATGATGTGTGAAAATGGAATACTTCGGTCCGCTACGTCTGTTACCTCACGCATAATTCCACATTTTCCAAGAATTTGCACATATCTCATATAATTTATAGGAAGTGGTCGATATAGTTCAAATCTGGCACTTTGTAATATTTATATCAGTCTTAGGTCAGATACGAATTGGTCAATATTGGCCAACTGCTCCGGAACCTCCCCCATAAAGGGTCAGCAGTTTGAAGGATCATAACTCCAGGCTAGGGATGTACATCTGTCGGCAAAACCGACTAATACTATTTTACTTGTTCTTCTAGAGATCTTCCAGAAAGTATTCTTCTGAGAATTTTTTGAAAAAAGACAGGATGGCTAGTATGCATTATCGTTAAATTTTATTTCATATCCTCTTATTACCATCACAAAAAAATTTAGAAACAATCGTCAATGCTGGCTTTCAGGCAGGCTTTCCAAGCCTGATCCTCTTTTAAAAAATGTTCTTCAGAAGCCACTTTTCCTAGATCTGAACATGTTTAAATAATATTCTTTAAAAACTCACGTTTTCAGGCCTGGCTATCTTTAAAATAACATTCTTTAAAAATTCCGGTTTTCCAAGCCCGGCCATGTTTAAAAAAAAAATTCTTTAAAAAGACTAAACCACTTTTCAAATTTCGTTTTAATCCATTTATTTTATTTCGCATCAAATCCTATCAACAAATTAATTTAGAAACAATCATCAATGCTGGGCAAAGTGCCATCACAGTACTTCCAGGTGGACCAGGCAGTCCAGCCTTGTTGTTTCAAAATCAATTGGGCACACTTAACGCTGGGTTCAATGCTGTCAACCAAGAAATCATCACACTTGATGTTGCACTCATTGTAGGAGAATGCACCGGAGGGTGGAGAGCACCAGTAGTAGTTGTTGATTTGGAAGATACCATAGTCGCGAGAGCCGTTCGAATTCAAGGAGCCAACAGCCATGGTATTGTAGGACGATTCATGTTCAGCAATGCATGTCCAGCGAGCCAATTGATCCTTGGGCACACCCAAGCTGTACATGGCCTTGGCCAAGGAACAGCGAGTGTAGACGGTGGCAAAGGTCGGAGAGACCAAGAGCACGGCGGCCAAGATGACGAAAGTGAATTTGAACATTTTTGTTTTTTTTTTTCGATTTAGTTACTTAATTTGTGAACAAAGGAGAACTAATGCCCAACTGGACTCCCAATTGCAGTTTTTATAGGTCTAGAATTTCACACGACCATAAAGATAAGAGAGACGAAAATATTTATGATTGATGGTTTCAAAATGTTGATAATACCAAATTTAAGTGTTTAATTTATTTTTAATATATTTTGATATGACTATTTTAAGATATCGTGACATTGATATGTTTATTTAAAAATATGCATTGCCGCAATAATGCGTATTTTTTACAGTTCAGGTATAGATGTTTGTGATTCAAAGGTTGTATTAGGCATTTAGAGTGTGAGGATTCAGAGTCCCTTGAAGTTCAAAAGGAATCAATGAAGATTACGAAGTTTTTCTTGGGTTTGCTGTTAAGTTCGAAAAGCCTTGATCATTAAATTTAAGTGAATGGAATGCAAAATAGAGGCTCTTTGAAATTACTGCAATATTCGAATAAAGTGGCGCCCAACACTTTCGGAATCAAAAATAGAGGCTCTTTGAAATTACTGCAATACTCCATTAAAGTGGCGCCCAACACTTTCAGAATCAAAAATAGAGGCTGAAATTACTGCAATATTCCAATAAAGTGGCACCCAACACTTTCGGAAAAATTGTATTTGGATTTGTTATGAAGTGGCGCCCAATATTATTAATTATGTGTAGTTTTTTTCATATACAACTTTACTATTCAAATAACAATATAAGATTAAAGCCAGCCGAAGACTTAAGCCAGTCAAAAAAGCGTTTTATGTTTTCTCACATTACGATGTTCTCCAAGTATGGTCTCCGTCTTCCTTTTTCCTCTCTGTAAAAGTCTTCCCACCTCTTGACGCGTCCAAAGTCTTGTTTTGACTTCCAAAGAGTACGAGCATGCGTTTCGTATCGAACCTGTCCCTATAGTGTTTCTTGGCTGCTTTGGTGGTTTGCTTCCTCTTTTGCCGGATCTGGGATTTCTTCGCACTATCCCCAGGTCTAGCAGTCGATTTCGTGGTTAAAGCCAGCCGACGATTTAAGCCAGTCAAAAAAGCGTTTTATGTTTTCTCACTTTTCGATATTCTCCAAGTATGGTCTTCGTCTTCCTTTTTCCTCTCTGTAAAAGACTTCCCACCTCTTGACGCGTCTAAAGTCTTGTTTCGACATCCAAAGAGTACGAGCATGCGTTCCGTATCGAACCTGTCCCTATAGTGTTTTTTGGCTGCTCTGGTAGTCTACTTCCTCTTCTGTCGGTTCTGGGATTTCTTCGCAGTATCACTCACCCTTTCAATGTTCGATCTCACTTCGTTCCTCTCGATCAAATGATTCTCGAGGCAATCTCCCTTGCGATATTCTTGACTGATTTTTCCCCGTAGTATTTGAAGGTGGAAAGTTTTTTTCTGGCGGCTTGACAGTGTTTTGCTCCCGAGGAAATCAGATGCTCTTCCCCGCTTCCAAAGGAGTAGGGAAAGTATTCGTAGCCTCCTTTGTAACAATCTGTGACTTTGCTGTTTTTTTCTTCCTGTGAGAATCCATAGAGCGCATATTTGGCTGGCGTAAGTCATCGGCTGGCTTCTTCGTAGAGGAACAAAGGAGTTATAGGTTGACTTAGTTCGGAAATGGCCCTAGGCTCCTTTGTTCATTTCCGAAGAAGCCAGCCAAATAAGCGCTGTATGTATTCCCACCTTTAGTCGTTGAGCCCCCAGACAGCTGCCTTCGTTTTAGTTGTGAGCCTTGCTAAGAATATCACTCACTTCATCTAACGTCTTATAGACCTCCTCCTTTTTAGGGATTTGCTATTGCTATTAGATGCTGCTATTACTGTCAGATTCGGAGTTCCTACCTCTACCTCATCACTGAAGACTGACTGGAGCTTAAGCTTCCCCAGAGTTTCTCAGTATTTTTTATCAATCTTTTTATCCGAGGACTGTGTGCTTGTAGGGAAATATTCTTAACCAAATACTTGCTCTGTTTCAGAACCTGCAAGAATCTACTACTTTTGCAATTTTTAAATGGAAAATCGGTTAGAGCAATTAAAATTTTTACATTCCTGCAGTTCTAGACAAACCAAATATTTTCTTTTCTTAAAAGAATATTGACCTGTATGTTCCATGAGGTATATCCCCTAATCATAATAGCTCTTATTCTAAAAATATCGAGAGCTGCCTCTAGAAAATGCTAAAAATGATAAACCCCCTTAAACATAAATATCAGCTCATCAATCTTGACATCCATACGTACTTGGCTTATCGCTTAACAAGTATGGCAAAACTTCTCCTATAAAAACCTGCAGCGGCACCCGACCAAACATAGTTCTCGTTTGTTCGCAAATTAACTAACTAAACCGAAAAATAAAACAAAAATGTTCAAATTCACTTTCGCCATTTTGGCCGCCGTGCTCTTGGTCTCTCCGACCTTTGCCACCGTCTACACGCGCTGTTCTCTGGCTAAGGCCATGTACAGTTTGGGTGTGCCCAAGGATCAATTGGCTCGCTGGACCTGTATTGCTGAACATGAATCGGCCTATAATACCATGGCTGTTGGCTCTTTGAATTCGAACGGCTCTCGCGATTATGGTATCTTCCAAATCAACAATTACTACTGGTGCTCTCCACCCTCGGGGGCCTTCTCCTACAACGAGTGCAACATCAAGTGTGATGATTTCTTGGTCGATAGCATTGAACCCAGCGTTAAGTGTGCCCAACTGATTTTGAAACAACAAGGCTGGACTGCCTGGTCCACCTGGAAGTACTGTGATGGTACTTTGCCCAGCATTGATGACTGCTTCTAAGCCAAGTGACTTTGAGTGGATGTTGAAGAAAAATTAATAAAAATTTAACGATATTGCAAAATAAGACTGGTGACATTTTAAAATGCTCATAACTCCTTAAATATTGACATTTCGGGGTTTTTAGCATCATTTTAGAGGCAGTTATTGAAAGAGGAAAAATAGTCAATTTTAAAATGCTCATAACTCCTTAAATATTGACATTTCGGGGTTTTTAGCATCATTTTAGAGGCAGTTATTGGAAGAGGAAAAATAGCCAATTTTAAAATGCTCATAACTCCTTAAATATTGACATTTCGGGGTTTTTAGCATCATTTTAGAGGCAGTTATTGAAAGAGGAAAAATAGCCAATTTTAAAATGCTCATAACTCCTTAAATATTGACATTTCGGGGTTTTTAGCATCATTTTAGAGGCAGTTATTGAAAGAGGAAAAATAGTCAATTTTAAAATGCTCATAACTCCTTAAATATTGACATTTCGGGGTTTTTAGCATCATTTTAGAGGCAGTTATTGGAAGAGGAAAAATAGCCAATTTTAAAATGCTCATAACTCCTTAAATATTGACATTTCGGGGTTTTTAGCATCATTTTAGAGGCAGTTATTGAAAGAGGAAAAATAGCCAATTTTAAAATGCTCATAACTCCTTAAATATTGACATTTCGGGGTTTTTAGCATCATTTTAGAGGCAGTTATTGAAAGAGGAAAAATAGCCAATTTTAAAATGCTCATAACTCCTTAAATATTGACATTTCGGGGTTTTTAGCATCAGTTTAGAGGCAGTTATTTGAAGAGGAAAAATAGCCAATTTTAAAATGCTCATAACTCCTTAAATATTGACATTTCGGGGTTTTTAGCATCATTTTAGAGGCAGTTATTGAAAGAGGAAAAATAGCCAATTTTAAAATGCTCATAACTCCTTAAATATTGACATTTCGGGGTTTTTAGCATCATTTTAGAGGCAGTTATTGAAAGAGGAAAAATAGCCAATTTTAAAATGCTCATAACTCCTTAAATATTGACATTTCGGGGTTTTTAGCATCATTTTAGAGGCAGTTATTGGAAGAGGAAAAATAGCCAATTTTAAAATGCTCATAACTCCTTAAATATTGACATTTCGGGGTTTTTAGCATCATTTTAGAGGCAGTTATTGAAAGAGGAAAAATAGCCAATTTTAAAATGCTCATAACTCCTTAAATATTGACATTTCGGGGTTTTTAGCATCATTTTAGAGGCAGTTATTGGAAGAGGAAAAATAGCCAATTTTAAAATGCTCATAACTCCTTAAATATTGACATTTCGGGGTTTTTAGCATCATTTTAGAGGCAGTTATTGAAAGAGGAAAAATAGCCAATTTTAAAATGCTCATAACTCCTTAAATATTGACATTTCGGGGTTTTTAGCATCATTTTAGAGGCAGTTATTGAAAGAGGAAAAATAGCCAATTTTAAAATGCTCATAACTCCTTAAATATTGACATTTCGGGGTTTTTAGCATCAGTTTAGAGGCAGTTATTTGAAGAGGAAAAATAGCCAATTTTAAAATGCTCATAACTCCTTAAATATTGACATTTCGGGGTTTTTAGCATCATTTTAGAGGCAGTTATTGAAAGAGGAAAAATAGCCAATTTTAAAATGCTCATAACTCCTTAAATATTGACATTTCGGGGTTTTTAGCATCATTTTAGAGGCAGTTATTGAAAGAGGAAAAATAGCCAATTTTAAAATGCTCATAACTCCTTAAATATTGACATTTCGGGGTTTTTAGCATCATTTTAGAGGCAGTTATTGAAAGAGGAAAAATAGCCAATTTTAAAATGCTCATAACTCCTTAAATATTGACATTTCGGGGTTTTTAGCATCATTTTAGAGGCAGTTATTGAAAGAGGAAAAATAGCCAATTTTAAAATGCTCATAACTCCTTAAATATTGACATTTCGGGGTTTTTAGCATCATTTTAGAGGCAGTTATTGAAAGAGGAAAAATAGCCAATTTTAAAATGCTCATAACTCCTTAAATATTGACATTTCGGGGTTTTTAGCATCATTTTAGAGGCAGTTATTGAAAGAGGAAAAATAGCCAATTTTAAAATGCTCATAACTCCTTAAATATTGACATTTCGGGGTTTTTAGCATCATTTTAGAGGCAGTTATTGAAAGAGGAAAAATATCCAATTTTAAAATGCTCATAACTCCTTAAATATTGACATTTCGGGGTTTTTAGCATCATTTTAGAGGCAGATATTTGAAGAGGAAAAA